GACCAAGATTCATGAGGTCTTGATTAGAATAAAAGTGTTTTTTTCTTTTTTTCATTTCTCAATGTCTTCGTGATTTGACTAGTTGTTAAAGGCCTTGATTCTAATAAAATGATCCTTTTTACAAGTCGCTATTTATGTGAATTCATACATATGTTGTTTACCTTCAAAAACCTTGTAATGCAAAGTATCTATAACCTAAAGCAAAAGCTTTTTAAATTCATATAGCCGAATACGTAGATGTTAGATAAAAGTAAAACTGGTGAGCCTACAGATAAGCAAAATTCACTCAAAGTACAAACACAACATTCGACTGCCTCTTCTAGTTTACATCTATTGTTTTGGTCCCAAAAAGACAAAAAGAAAAGAAATAAACTTTGAGGCACATGGGCTTGTGCATGTTCACACTATTGAACTTTTTTTTTTTTTTCTTTCAAAACGGAACAGTCCTTCATCGCCCCTTGAGCAACCACCAACGCCAAAAGAAGAAAGAAAAATAAAACACTTTGAAATTGTGCACCATTTCTTTAGTTCTTTGATCAAATATCAACAGGAGAAGCATGGTGAATGCATATAAACCATTGCCCATCGATTCGTTCAAACACATTTGACACAAACTGAGCTCCCCAACTACTACTCCCTTTCGTCTTCACAAACTCCATACATGTTACATAACCTACTTCGCCTCGAACATGAGTCTCAACATCTTTTAGCTCGATCTGTAACGGAAACTCATAGTTCATCCACACAAGTTCCCAGCTTTCCATCACGTAATCATACCCGGTTATGCCTTTGGCTCCTGGATGGACACAGCACGGGTTTCCAGACTTTGACCACAGCGACTGCATCGCAGCTAAATCCCCGTTTCTGAAAGATTGGTAGAACCGAGCATTGGCTGACAAAACAGAGGCTTTGTTGTCTTCTTGAAGCTCTTTTATTTTATCCCGGATTTTAGCTGCCTCCACGTAGTTTTCTTCTTGGATTGCAGTCTTGAGATCTTGCTTCAACGTGTTCTCATCCACCGATACGCTTTCAACATCCGCAGTTTGGTTATTGTCTTCGCGCTTGACACGACATGGCCTTAGAGGAGAGCCTGCTTTAATGGGCACCGTAACGTTAAACAGAACCAAGACTAAAGAAATGGGTGCTACTAGAGAAGGTGCTCGAACTAAAATCGAGTTGACCGAGCATTCAGACCACAGCTAGCTTGTAAGAGAAAAAACTCACACGGTTCTTTGTTTTGCAGCTTGAGATGACCTGACCAGAATGTAGTCCTGGCTGAAACCATGTTACAATGAATCGGATGAGACTTGGGCAAGTGAAGCAGCCTCGAAGAACCACCAAACACAGAAGTGATCTCTACAGTGTTTGAAACCTATCAAGGAGCAAGGTGAGATTACACTGAGCAAAGAGATTCAGATAACCACTAAATTGAAATTTCATCAAAAAGAAATCTCAGAGTGAGAAATTGATGAGTAACAACAACAAGTTCAGATCTTGAAGAAGACCCTTACAAACACTGCCTCTCAGAGTAAAAATCCAAATACTTTCTGATCTAAAAACAAAGCTTAATTTATTTTTTTATCCCATCGATCCGAATTTCCTCTAGAGCTTAGTTAGTAGTACAATAGCTAATCCGTACAAAATCTCACACCAGAGACGATTAGAACTCCGCGTATGAGCACAAATCATCCAATCCTAATGGGTTTCTTCTTGAAAATCGATTACATAAGCATATATAGATGGGAACTTCAAAATCAAGTAAGAAAATCAGACGAAAAGTTTTTCAACGAGAGAAACTCTGACTTACACTGCATAAAACTCCAGACCCACGAAGCGCCATGGAAAGAAGGAATCGAACAAATCGAAGAGATTTCGCGACTAGAAACCGGAATAATTTCACGACCAGNGTTTTGGAGTTTGATCAATCAATCGAAACGAAGAAGCTCAAGAGAGAGAGAGAGTCAGAGACTTCAGACTCCCGGATAAAATTAATGGGCCTTGCAGTAAGGCCTATACTTACAACCCTAGGCCCAATTATTTTCCCAAATAGACCTTCCTAATTAGTGATTAATATGTATAAGCTCCAACAAATTTATTTATTTTTTTATATAATCACCTAAACGAGCGTCCCATAAACACTAGAGTTTCTAGAGGGTATCTTTTTGCCATAATGAGCAAGATATACCAATTCGATTTGATAACGATATGTTTGTAAAATTACAGTATGGAGGAATAAATTTATAAATTAAGTGGGGATATATGGATTTTGACTCCCAATCTCGAAAACCTGTGGTAAAAGAAAAAGTAACTAAATTATTTTTTTTTTTCATCTAATGGTATATTATAGCGAAAGAGTACACAAACCAACAAATCATATAATTTGGTTTTTCCAAAATAAAACTATGCAGTGATTCATGCTCAAATAAGGAAATCAAATGGAACAAGCAAACAAAAATTCTTTATAATATAACAAGATCATGTTGACATTTTTTGTATTTTTAATGAGATAAATCTACGTTGATTTCTTCTAAAGCATATTACATACTTTTGTTAATCAAGTATTAAATTATGAAAAACAAACATTCGCTACAAAAAAAAAAAAAATCTGAGTTCATTTCTTTAAAAAAATATAACTTCTCTTCCCGGAGGCGGGAGTTTCACCAAGCACTTCAAAGATTTTCTCCACCGGCGAAAAACAACATTTATCGCCGTCCTTCTCCATCGCCGGCGATGGGATGCATTTGCTTCAAACCTTGGCGAAAATCGCCTTCTCCGTCGATTACATCCACCGTCATCGACGATCTAGGTTAAATTTCCGACGAATTCTCCTCTTTTTCCGTTTTAATCCTAAAGAAGACGATGATCGGGAAACTAACCCTAGTCGTTTTCTCTGTAGATAACAACGAAGAAGATGAAGGAAGCTCTTGTCCGATTTTCCGGGAATTCAGTTTGGAACAGCTGAGAGTCGCTACTGACGGATTCTCCGCCGAAAACATCGTGTCGGAGCACAACGAGAGGGTTCCTAACATCGTCTACAAAGGAAGGCTCAACGACGGTAGACCAATCGCCGTGAAGCGGTTTCAGAGACTTTCATGGCCTGATTCTTTAGAATTCATTGTTCGTCTTTTTACCTATCCGATACTTAACTGATTCCTCTACAATTTGGTCCTTTGTTTTGATGATTGCAATTAAAATCTCTGGATTCTTCTCTGTTTGGTTTATTCTTCATGGCTTTGCATACGATTTGACTGTTGATAATTAAGCTTTAGGTCCCAATTTCATGTTTTCGATTAGTTTTTGGATTCTGATTTATTCGGTTCTTATTTGACTTGTTTGGTTGAATGTGGCAATGTTCTAGATTCTGTGATCTGTTGCAGATACAAATTTCATTTCTTTTTGACTTGGTAAAGATTCGAATTATAGGCAAGTTTCTTGAATATGGCATTGATATTTTTCAGGAAGAAGCACGAGCTGTGGGGAGGTGTAGGAGTGAACATATGGTCAATTTGATCGGTTGTTGCTCAGAAGGTCACGAGAGGCTTCTCGTCGCTGAATACATGCCTAATGGAACACTTGCAAAGCATCTCTTTCACTGTGAGTGTCAACTTTTTTTCAGTTCTTCATGATGCCTCTGATCTCTTGAGCTTTTGACTTTATAGAAGATTCATTGTAAAAATGGTTTTTCAGGGGAGAAACGACCAATGAAATGGGAAATGAGGTTGAGGGTTGCGTTACATACTGCGACAGCCTTGGAGTACTGTAATGATAGGGGAATAGATTTGTACCATGATCTGAATACCTACAGAATATTGTTTGATAAGGTTCAAAAATACTACTCTTTCAGAAAATCTCATTCATGATCATAAGTTTCTTACATAAGTGTTTGAACAGGTTGGGAATCCAAGGCTGTCTTGCTTTGGTCTCATGAAATGTAGCCGAGAGGGGAAGAGCTACAGCACGAATTTGGCATTTGCTCCTCCTGAATATTTGCGTCTAGGTATGTGTTTTGTATTGAATTCTCTAATTATCACCTAACCACTCTTCTCAAGAGCAAACTTCTAAACTTCTTCAGCTGAAATACTCATAACTTTTTTGCGTAACTTTGCTAGGTACTGTGATACCGGAGAGTGTCACATTTAGCTTTGGGACCTTGTTGCTGGATCTTATGAGCGGCAGACATATTCCTCCAAACCATGTATCTTTCTCCTCATAAAACAAAATGTCTGTTAGTCCTCAAGGTGTCAAATGTCAATCTTTAGAAGTGAATCGGTTCTTTGTTAAGTAGACTGTGATCCTGAGGCAAGATTTTGTTACTTATGCATAATGTATCTTGAGAGTAGTTTCATTGATTTTAGCTTATCTGTCATTGCAGGCACTTGATCTGTTCCGTGGCAAAAACTATTTGGTGCTAATGGATTCAGCTCTCGATGGTCAATTCTCTGATGAGGATAGAACAGAACTAATCCACCTAGCTTCCCGATGTTTGCGTCCTGAACCAGAAGAGAGACCTAGCATAAAGTTTCTTATGTCGGCTCTTTCAAGACTCGAGAAACGAGCAGAGTTATGGCCAAACGTCAAAGGAGAAAACATCTCTGTAAGTCAGTACCTCATTAATTCTTCTAAGGTTTCAGGTTTGCAAACTTTCTTATGTATCCATGGGACTTAATAATGACAGACTCAATCATACACTAAATCTGAAACAAAGCAGCCATTACGCTTGACCTCTTTTGGAGAAGCATGCTGGAGAGTTGATTTAAGTGGCATACACGAACTGCTCGAGAAAATCGGGTACGGAGAGGATGATGTAGTGGTCACAAACGAGGTATATATGTTTGTGAGCAACATATTTTTGATACAACTCAATATCTCATTCTGAGAAAAGAACAAAATATATATTGCAGTTCTCATTCCAAATGTGGACGGGTCGAATGCAAGAGAATACGGATTACAAGAAGCATGGAGATGCTGCATTTCGTGCTAAGGATTTTGAAACCGCAATCGAATTCTACTCAGAGGTATCATTTTGAATCATCAAGAAACCATCTGTTTTTTGTCCTGCAATAGATACATTACTACTATAAAGAATATGAATTTCTTCTTATGAACAGTTCATGAGCGGAGCTCCAGTGGTATCACCAACCGTGTTAACCAGACGGTGTCTCTGTTACCTAATGAGCAATATGTTCCGCGAAGCTCTAAGCGATGCGATGCAAGCTCAGGTCACATCGCCAGAGTCTTCAACTGCTCTCTACTTACAAGCAGCTTGTCTCTTAAAGCTCGGGATGGAGACTGAAGCTAAAGAAGCACTTAGACATGGCTCTTCTCTCGAAGCTTTTTAGAGTTACAACAACAAAAAACAAAGCCAGACTTGTACAGCTTCTTTCTCTGCATACGTTTAGGAAATGTTAATACAGACATAGCACATATACATGTTTGCTTCTTTGAGTTCGTTTGAAAGAATCTTGGGTTGCCATCAGATTTTTGTGTGTTGAAACCTAATTTTCTTGCCGATTTCCCTTGATCTTAACTGGATTTTGGATTTGTTTATTACAAGTTCACACTAATTGTTAGTGTTATGAACTTATTGTCATTGTCGGCTTGTTGTGAAGGCATGTTGCACAAAGTGAAACAACCATCATGATTGAAGTTAAAGCATTGTGTGGTCTCTACTCAATTTCAGAACTAAAGAAACTATCTCTACTCAATTACATCACAACTTTGATTACAAGTAAAACTCAAGCTCTCTGAGATCAAGAGACTAAATAAAAAGAGTAAAGAAATCTCAAATAAAAGAAGAAAAATCTCAGGGACTCTGTTTTTGCTCTGCCATATTTTTATGTGGATAGGACATTGGGTATGTTCTTTCCTTGTTCAGATACAAGATAACGATCTCGATGTCCCCTTGAGCCTTGAGGCCTTAACCGACCAGCTGCTTCTTCCATCGCCCTCACGCTGCTGCTCTCTAAACCACTTCTCAGCCAAGCGAGGCTGCTTATATCTGTTGCTATAGCAGCTAGTTCGTAACTTGGAAACGTTGGTGGGTCTAAGTAATCCACAAACTCTGGACCCAACAATGAGGTTTGCTGAAAACTGCTGACGGGATTGTTGCTACAACAACCACGTCCGCAATTCTGAGGCACAAACCGTTCGCTGTAAGCTCCTTCAAGCAATCTTAGCATTGCTGTGTCTTGTTTAGATGATTGGAACTGATTTTGGTTTTGTATATGTGGAGAGGAAGACCCTTCAATGTGATTGTTCACATCAAAAGAACTGAGCCGAGCTACCGGGCGGAAAAGCGTTGGAGGATCATTCACTTCTTGCCTAGAAGTGCCTTCTCCGTTTGATTTCTCTTCGCATTGTTCTTCAGACATTTCCATGGAGGTATCTTCTTTTCCTTCTGATGATACAAGTGGGGTAGTTACATGGCCACCACCGCCTGAAGATAAAGTTTCTTCCGATGAGGCTATCATATTCGTCGTTCTATCAAATCCAGAATCTTCCATGACTAAGTTTCCAGTTCCTATATTCGTTGTCCCTCTTTCAAGATCAGTGCATCGACGTCTTAGAGTGGAGTTCCAGTGGTTCTTGATAGCATTATCTGTTCTTCCTGGGAGGAGCTTGGCGATTACAGCCCATTTGTTTCCGTGGATTGCATGTGCTGCGATGATAGCTTGATCCTCTACATCTTCATAAACC